GGGGGGGGGGGAGTGGCTGAGTTTAGAGGCACAGGACCTGTCCCAGGCGGATAGTGTGCCAGCTGCACCCCCCCCTTGGGGTTTCCTTTGGAAGAAGCACCTCCTGGACTTGCGAGCAGGTGAGGAAGGGTCCTCCTGGGCTCCCAGCGTCCCCCGGGGCTCTCAGGAGCCATAAAGCCCTCGGGAAGGGGCCCACTGCAGGCCGCCAGCGATGCGTGCCCTAATGGTGTGCGGGGAGGGGCCGCGGGAGCTTTGTCTGGGCCACAATGCGGACAGCCAATAAATAGAAGCTTTAACAGGGCCCCTGTGAGGTCCGGGGTCATGACAATGGGCCGGCGGGGACCACCTTGCTCTTTATGGCCCTCGGAGAGAGGAGAGGCTGCTGCGGTTAGAGCCCCAGTCGATTGTCTTCTTTAAAAATGCCATTGTTTTAGTCCCACGTCTTTGCTTTCCTTAAAGGATTAAAATAACAATTACAAGGGTTTGTGGCGTTTACCGAATTAGACCTGAGTGGTTGGCAGGTCAGCCGTCCACCCCTGGGAGTGAGTGATCGCCTTAACCCTGGTCAGGCCTGGCTTGGGAGGCTCTATGGACCTCAGCCAGGTGCCATCTCCCCTGCACCATTCGGGGCAGGGAAGGTGGGCGTGAGACAGACACCTGCCTGTCCTCTGGCCAGCGGCACTCGGCTGCCAGCCTATGTGTCCCCAGAAGACAAATTCTTGCTCGTAGACATGGGCAGCTCCCAGAGGGGACCTCCCCTCTGCCTCTCGGTGCTCGCTTTGCTGACGGCGCTTCCATCACTCGCTCTCGGGGGCCACCGGGGATCAGCACTAGAAATGCCACCAAGGGGGAAGAGGGGGCGGTCAGTTGAGGCTGACAGATATTAGTCTGGTCACCCAGTGACAAACATCGCCCAGCTGAGACACAGACACCCCTCAGTAGTGGGGGCCTGGGTTGTCTGCCCTTTTCCAGAGCTGGCCCTTGGGGACCAACATCAGCTCGTCACAGGATGGAGCTGCAGGTCTGGGTGGGCACTGCATGCATCGTCCAGGATGCGAGCCAAACGGGGTAAAGGGTCCCAGTCTCCCCAACAGTCATTCGCATTGTGCACGGCCTGCTTTTGATGGCGTTCATCACGGAAGGCTGGGCTCACTGGGGCTGAAGGGGCAGAGGTTAAGTCCAGAAGGCCGGCCTCAGAGGGGCCCCTGCCCTGGATCACGTGGCTGGATGTGCCGAGGACAGTGGCAGGGCCGGTGGGAATGGCAGGGCCTGTGATGGGAGCCGGGCAGAGGAATTCCAGGGAGAGCCCCGGGCCCTGCTGCTGGGGGCACAGGCACAGGCGGGGGAGGGGGGCTGCAGGACAGGACGTCTGCGTTCACAGAAGATGGCCAGCAGCCCTGAGGTCTCGGTCCTGAGTGGGACCATCACTGCCCGGCCGGCTGTGGGCTCCCTCCTGCAGCCTCCCCCTGAGGACCCCCGTCCCCCCACCCTCCTGTCTCCCCAGGACTGCCTCCGGGCCTGCCAGGAGCAGATCGAGGCCCTGCTGGAGTCCAGCCTGCGCCAGGCCCAGCAGAGCCTGGACCTCAAGGTGGTGGAAGAGGAGGAGGTGCTGGAGGAGGAGGCAGACCTGGCCTGCACGCCCACTGACGTGCGCGACGTGAACATCTGAGGGCGCAGGCGGCGAGGGAGGGGCTGGCCCCAGGTGCTCCCCTGACAGACCCGCTCCCCCAGGACGGGCCTCGGCAGGAGGGAAACGCTCCCTCTCCTTCTTTGGTTTTTTCCTTTGTTCTCCCTTCCGTCTCTGACTTCATAAGCAAGGGGGGGGGGAAGTACCTAAAACTCTTTAAAAAAAAAAAAAAATCAGAAAAAAAATAGTATTTTGTATAACCCCAAGCTGGAGGGTGGGGGGAGGACCTGGTAGCCCATAATCGACTAGTTATCCAGGAACGTGTTTGTGTCTGCATTTAAGGATAGGCATTAACACGGGGAGCGCGTCTGCGGGGGGCTTAGGGTTGATTCTTTGTGTTTAAGGCAAAAAAAAACAAAAAAACTTAAAAACGTTCTAAAAAAAAGAAACTCGAACCATTTTACAGTAGAAGAGAGTTTAGGTAGACAACGTATTCTTGCGCTTCCCTACGGGGCGCAGCTTCGAGGCGGCCGTAGGCACCTGTATCCCGCTTGCTCATGCATGTAGTCACTTTATAAGTCACCTGTGTGCGCGTTGTATCCCGTAGGTAGGCGTGTAACCTTCACCTTGTCCACGGCCGTGTAACCTGCCGGGTGGGGGCGTGCAGCTGAGCATCCGCACCGCTAGCCCTTCCTGCCCGCCGGCCGGCCCGGGGCCCACCTGTGCTCTTCACGAGGGGCCGCAGTAGCAACGTCACAGATTCTATTTTTGTAATCCTCGTATTTTTGTAGCTGCCCGTTTAGGAGACGCCGCCAGCCACCGGACCTGCCGCCCGCTCACGTCCGGGTGAAACCCACAGCTCGCCTGTCCGTCTCCTTCTCGATGTTCTAGAACCATTCCATTTCAAAGCACTTTCGGTCCAGCAGCCCTCGGGGAGGTCTCTTGCTTGCGCTGGGGAGGGGGGGGTCCTCGTGGAATGGTTTGGGACGCCCACGTGCTCGGGCAGACAGGATCGCAAGGCCAGTGCAAGTCGCCGCAGTGTTCGAGGGGGTAGTTTGGAAGTCGGGGCTCCGGTCAAGGAGGAAGGGTCGCTCTCGCGGCGCCGGGACGGCGCCCCTTCCCCCGCAGAGAGGTTCAGGCTTAGGAATCCTTCGGTGCCCACCGGCGTTTGAAAGTAGGGGCCTTAAAGGTTCGCCTAGAGGACGCGTAGCTTAAGGGTTAGGGAGGTTTTTAAACACTAAAATGTATAATTTATAGTTGAGGCTAAAAGGAATATTTATTGCAGAGGATGCTCGTAAGGCCAGTAGGATGTGTGACGCGATGCACTCTCCCGATTCGCGCACCGCCCTCCGGCGGCAGGCTTAGCGCCGCCTGGAGAAGTCAGGTCCTTCCGCAGAAGGAAAAATCCCCGGAAAAACAGACACACGGATTCGGCCTGAATGGTGTTTCCCAACGTGATCGATCGGAGAGGCCTCGGTTCCAGGAAAGTTAGGGCGCTCGAATCAAGCTGTTCCCGCATGCTCTCATCCCCGGCTCCCCTTTTTTAAAAAATGTTAGCGACCAGTAGATGACTTGCACACCTTGGCTATGGACCTCTGTGTGATGCTAAGTAGGGAGTGTGGAGGGGTGGCCAGAGTGCCCAGGCTGGTGCTGGGATGGAGTGAGGAGGAAGTGGGGGGAGGCAGGCGGGACCCCGAGGGACAGGCTGTGCGGCTCCGTTTCTCATTCGCTGCTACCGATGACTTTCCAGCCCGGTCTGGAGACACTCACATCGCTTCTCTGTTTCTCTCACATTGTGTTGCTGCTATTTGGAGGATCAGTCTTTCTGTTTTACGATGTCATGTACTGCCATGTTCTAGTTTTAATTTTCTCATAGAAAAAAAAATGTATTACGGATGCCTTTTTTTTGGTAGTTTTTTTTTTTCTTTTTTATGTGATCAATTTTGACTTAATGTGATTACTGCTCTATTCCAAAAAGGTTCCCGTTCCACGATACCTCATGTTTCACTAAGCGACGTGCGGACCAGAGGCCAGGTGGGGCCGGGCGCCGGGCTGCGGGCGGGCGGCGGCCCGGCGACTCTGAGGACCAGCCCGTGTCCGGGTCCCTCCCCTGCGCCCACTGTGCTGGGCTCTCCACCTGCCCTGGCGACCATCCCGGTAGTTTTTACGGCTGTGTTGTTTGCGTATAGCTATGAAACTTGCATTATTATATTATTATTGTAACAAGTGCGTCTTGATGTGCCGCTGAGGTGCTGTGCCCTGGACTGGGTCACCGGCCTCTGGAGTCCCTAAGGTCCAGGGGTGTTGGATCTGTTATGATGTCCTAGTGTCCTCTGTTCTGTCCACGACTGACCGCGTGATGCTCATGTAAAGAGGCTACAGATGTCACCGAAGCCGCCTGTGGTGCCAGGTGCCCACATCGCCCAGCATGCTGCCGAACCAAAAGGACTTGCCCCCTGGCGGCCCTGCCCAGTGGGCGGCTGGCATGCCCAGGCCGCGCCCACAGGAGCCCTGCTCCATTTACCTCAACTGTCCTGGCTGCAGCACCCATGTCTGAACCAAACCTGGTCCTTGAGGGACAGCCTGTCCTAGGCCTGTCCTGCGGGGTGAGCGCTGTGTACTCTGAGGCCAGGGCAGGGTGGGAGCACGGCGGGGCCTGTCCCGTGACCAGCAAGTCTGTGAGGGTCTGGTGAGTGGGTCTTGTGTGTTTTGGGTGGCACACCGCGGCGTCTCCCAGCGTGGACATATAACCGGCACGTTTCCAGCGGAAAACAGTCTAGAAATAAAGTTGATAAAACCCCAGTGTGGTGCCTGCCTGTTTCGTGGGGTGGGGCCGGGAGCCAGGGGCGCGAGGCCTGGGGGTGACAGGCAGCCAGGATGTCTGGATCCTCTGGCATGGGGGCTGTCCTGTGCGCTGTGGGGTGCTTAGCTGCATCCCTCTCCTCTGCCCACCAGATGACCCGCCATCTCCAGCGTGGCAACCAGAAATGTCTCGTGTTGCCATGTGTCCCTGGTGGTCCCGGAACTGGTGGTGCTCGGCGCAGGAGGCGGGGTGCACCTGCTCCCCCGAGAAGACTGGGGAAGTGATTGCCTGTGGCTGGGGTGACGTGACTGCCTGCTGCCTGGAGCTGTCTTGGCCAGCTCGCCCTCCCAGGCTATTTGCAGATAGGAAAATAAATAAACCAGCCTCCACTGTCCCTCTCCTGGCACAAACTGCTGTTTGCTCTTGGTGAATCACGATCCTGCAGCCCAGGGCTCGTGGAGGGCACAGCACGTGTCAGCTGCATTCTGGTGGCCATTCATATGGGCCAGTGACCCGGGAGGCCTGGTGGACACCTGGGACAACTACCTCTAGGTTTCAGGTGCATGGCACCAGCCTGTTTCCGACGGTGGGTGGGAACACACTGGGCAGGTGTCAGCAGCTTGAGCCCCAGCTTCCCAGAGCCTGGGAGAGTTCCCTGTGTCCTTCCCCCAGGGTCGTGAGGATTCAGAGTGCTCAGGAGCAACTCGAGCCCAGGTTACCCATCAAGGACGTCACTACTTGCTGTGGACCTGCCTGCCCAGGAGGGCCTTCCTCCTCTGGGGGCTTCCAGGGGGAACCCATGAGGTTGGGGTGGGCACCAGGGCTTCTGGGAGGAGGCACAGTGTGGAGGGGCTGGAATTGCTGCCCCAGGAGCCCGAGGGATGCTCCAAAAGGGGATCCCATGTGGCAGGAAGCCAAGTGACAGATTTGGAGAAGGCACCCGGAAGGCCAGGTGAGGGTCCACACCATCATGGTGGCTCAGCCCAGAACAAGCTAGGCATGCCAGCGCAGGGGACCCAGGGACATCTGTGGTCTCTATCCACAGACCACATGTGAACAGTCAGCTGAGCCGTGGCTCTGACACCACCAAGACCGCAGATCATGCTGAGGAGCAGGCCTGGGGGAGGGGTCCCAGCAGGAAGGGCAGGGTCCCAGCAGGAATCGGAGAGGAAGGGCGAGCTGCCTGTGCAAGGTGAATGCTCAGAGGCTGGGCTGTGACACTCCGTGACATCTAGTGTTTCCCGCACTGCAGATCTGTGCGGGCTGCCAGGCAGACAGAGTGGAAGGGAGAGGCCTGGACTGGACACAGCCCTGTGTGGGCCAGAGGCAAGGGGCAGAGGCCCTACCTTGAGGAGCTGTACAACCAAAAGCACAGAGGTCTGGGCCAAGCAAGGGGGTCCAGAGTCCCCCAAGGCCCTGGCTCCTTTTGGGAAGACCCCGTGGGAGGTGTCTGGAAGGCTCTTCCTTTCAGTGATGCCTTTAGGCCCTGACCTCAAGCCACCTACAGCCCCTCAGGCATCCGAGTAGCCTCATGCGGTAGCAGTGAAGGCCCATGCCTATGGCAAAAATAAAACCTAACCTGTTGCGGAGTTTGGTAGGACACATGGCCAGCATCACCCCCGCTGCAGCCCCATTGCTCTCACCTGGGCCTTCCCAGCCTTCCAGTCCACGTCCCTGCCTCAGATGGCCCCACCACCCCCGGCCAAACCCTCCTGGGGCTGCTGGCTCCTCTGGCTCCATCCAAGGCCCTGTGCCTGGCCCAGCTTTCCCCCTTAGCCCCATCTCACTCCCTTTCTTCCCCCACCTCCATCTCCCCTCCCCTGACTGCCCTAACCCCAAAGTTTCTACCCATGGACCGCAGGGCACACCAGGCACCTTCTGCCTCCACTTCTGAGCCTGAGGAGCCTTCCCACTGCCTTCCCTCCAGGGCTCATGTCAGACCCCCCGCAGGCCTTCCCCATCACACCTGCCCAGGTGTCACTGCCCTAGGTGTGAGCCCCCGGACAGGTGTCCTGCTCATGCTCTACGCCCCCAATTCCAAACTGGGTGGCAAAAACAGTGGTGCTGAGAGGTGGGAGCTGAATGGAAGGGGCATGAGTGCTCCCACAGGGCACCCACATTGCTTTCTGAGTTACAGAGACAGAGGTGGCCCTGCCTGACCCAGCAGGCGGGGGACAGACCCCGCCTTGTGAGGAGGTAGGGGCAGGGGCTCCCCAGGGGCCCAGGCAGAGCCAGAAAGGCCCTAGGACCTGGCTGGTGGGTGGGGTGGTGCATACGATAAGAAAAGTTCCATGCTGGGACCACGGAGGGGAGGGGAGGGGGCCCCAGAGCAGATGGCCACAGCTGAGATCACAGACGTGAGCACCCAGCCCCTGGGGGCCCTGCTGCAGGGCCAGGCTCCCCACACTCCTCTAAGCCCGAGCCCCGGAGCCTCTCGAGTCTGGTGGTCACACCACAAGGCCAATCCCAGCAGAGGGCTCGGTTGGGCCGCGTGGGGGTGCATCCCGCAAGCTGGGCGGCCTCTGAGCACACAGGGCTCTGTCATCCCAGGAATGCCTTTGATCAGGAGTTTACACCGAGGGGAAGCAAGCGAGGGGCCTCTAATCCGTTCCCACAGCCCCAGCGCCGGCCCCCAGCCCTGAGCTACACCAGGGCCCAGCACACAATAGGAGGGGGATGGTGGGCGGGCAGCTCCGGACTCGGCCTTGAGGCCCACATCCGGGGGCACTGTCCCCACCACCAACAGGGAGGGTGGGGGAGAGAACTCCACAGCCGTCCACTGTCGCAGCAGTCGGCCTGGAGCCTGTCAAAGACCATAGCGTCCATTCATCCTTCTAATTCCCAGCTGAGGCAGCTGCGACAAGTCACCGCAGGCTCCTGAGAGCCGCGTGGTCTGACCCAAGGACCCCCACGCTGGAGCCCGGCCACCCCAGCTCGTCGGGGGCGTTTCCCTTCCCTGGTCCCATCACAGAGGGTAACAGTCTCGGTCACTGAGCAGGGACTGGATACCAGGAATGTGTTGTGGGTCTAACATATGGTTTCTCCCTCAATCTTGAAACAACCCCCCAGGGGAGGGGAAGGGACAGGCAGGGGGCACACAGGTGAGTGGGGGGGCCCTTCGGAGCCCACATCCCCATCTCCCAGGTCAAGGGTCAGCACACTTGCCCATAAGGGCCAGATGGGCTTTGCTGGCCCTCGGGCTCCGTCCAACCCCCATCACTCAGCAAAAGCACCGCAGACAATGGCAAGCGAATGAGCTCCCCGGTGGCCAGTCAGGCCTCTGCCAAACCGGGTGGGGTGGGGGTGGGGTTCTGGTCCCTGTCGTAGATGGGCCCAGAGAGATGAAGTAGCTGAGCTGGGGTCACACTACCAGGAACTGTGTCCAGTGGCCAGGTGTGTCTCAGGGAGCCTGCACTCCTATCATCGGCCGAGCTGCCTTGCAAAGAAAGGGCAGGTCTTCAGAAGGGCGCTTGAGGAAAATGCTGGAAGCCTTTACCTGGCTCCACCCAGAGGCCATGCACACTGCAGCCCAGGCAGAGGGACCTCTCGCCTCAATGTCCTGGGGCGGTGGTAACAAATGATCACCGACTGGGTGGCTGAAAACGACGGAAATCCTCCGTTCTCCAGGCTGGAAGCCTAAAATCAAGGTGTTGGCAGGGCCAAGCTCTCTCCTAGCTTCTGGTGGCTGCAGGCACTCCCCGAGCTCCTTGGCTTATAGTTGTATCCTTCTGATTGCATCCGTGTGGCCATCTTTCCTCTGTGTGCCTTGACAGAGCTGGGGTGAGCAGGTTCAGCTCTGCCTGGGGAACAGGGAATGGGAAGGAGGGCAGGGAGGGTCTCCTGGAGGAGGTGACCTTCACACTACTAGTTTTGTGAGATTTCATGTGACCTCAACACAACCCTGAGACCACGAATTTAGAGATATCAAAACCTGTGATTAACAGGCCAGGACATCCTAGTTTCCACAGTTGTTCAGGTCCTTAATGAGTGAACTGAAGAGCCAGCCTGTGACTCAGGACACTGAATCACTGCGCTACTGAGTGATCAGAGAAAAGTGTGTACTGGGTTCAGTTGCCACAGGACAGGAGGCAAGAGGAGGCAGCACCCCAAGATGGAGTACAAGTGACCGGTGAGGCTGGGCTCTGCTTGTACCAGAACTGAGGTCTGTCTGGGGCGACCAAGGGTCCTGGAAACTGGGTGTAGTTCTCCAAGGAGCTGGGCAGGCACAGGCCAAGTCCAGTGCCCAGAGACCCTGAGGGTCAGTGAGGCAGCCCAGCCCGTGTGGGGGAACAGAAGAGGAAGTGGCCGCGCACATGCCAACACCCGGCACGGGAGAGGCTGAGGTTGAGAGGAGCGGGGAGGGAGGGCCGCTGGGCAGGAGGGATTAGTAATAACTGCTGGCAGGCGGCGGGGCCTGAACATCGCTGGCACTGCTCTTTCCCAGTAATGGTTTCTACATGTGCTGATGAAACCCACAGACGGAAAGCTGCCCAGGCTGACCCACTGCCCGCCTTCCTTTGTACCTAGATCCCAAGTACCCAGAAAGGAAGGCTTGGCTGGATGTCGCGTGATGAATGGTCCCAGATGGCCTTTTGCTTTAAAATACGCTATTTATTTTTTCTCCAATTATAAAAGTAATACACATAAAAGCAGGTAACAGAAGACACAAAAATCCACCAAGCACCAAGGGAAACAGCAGCACCCTTGACTCTCACTGCCTGGAGAACCCTGGTGGCGTGTGCACCCCAAGGACCAGCGGAGGCAGGCAGTGCCCAGGCGGGGCGCATGGCACTGCGGGCTGCAGGTGGACGCACACAGCGCGGAGGGACAAGCACTAGCCTTGTCCTTCGGCAACCGCCAGTTCTTGCTCTCTCAGCACCCGGCAGGGCACGGAGGAAAGGAGGGAAACGTCCATCCGGCCTGTAGGGACTCCCAGCCCCAGGTCCGGTGACAGGAACCATGCATGGCCTGAGCCAGGAACACGTTTCGCCAAGATGCCCTGGAACGACTAAAGACGAGCGGCCCACGGTCACCGATCCATTCACTCACTTCTGTGTGGAAGCGCCGAGAACCCGTGCACGATGCCGCCCAGAGGGACAGACCCGAGGGCTCCTACGAAAAAGACGCAGGCCGCGTCCTCATGTACAGCGCACAGCGGTAGCCTAATGCTTCGTCTCCAGTTCAACACGTTCCCCCTTAACCACTTTTTTTTAAAAAAATGTGTCTTTATTGATTTCAGATAGAAGAAGGGAGAGGGAGATAGAAACATCACTGATGAAAGTCATTGATCAGCTGCCTCCTGCACGCCCCCGACTGGGGACCAAGCCCGCAACCCGGGCATGTACCCTGACCAGGAATCGAACCGCCATCTCCTGGGTCCTAGGTTGATGCTCAACCGCTGAGCCATGCCAGCCGGGTCCCATTAACCACTTTTAATGCTGCAAAGCCCCAGCCCCACCTGGAGCGACGAGCACATCTGGGCTCCCCAAGTCCAGCTGGTCTCTCCACTCACCAGGTGCCCACAGGCCTCAGTTCCCTTCCCTGGGGAAGGGGAGGAACCCCACCTCGTGGGCTACAGAAGGGATTAGATAAAACGGAGGCACATCACTTGACACTGGCCCAGCTTCAGGTTCAGGAAATATCCCTGTGCTCGTCACTACTTCCCATCCACCTACCACATGGCAACCCTAGGCTCTCAGGTTTTGTAAAACTGCTCCTGAGCACCGAGTCCAGGCTTGGGGATCCCACCCAGAGCTAGCCCCAGTCTAGAAGCAGCTGGACTCGCCCCGCTGGATGTGACCAGGGAGGCCAGGGGACTCCGGCAACTTGAGCCTGGTGAGGGCTCTGCCAGGGCCTCACCCAGACCCAGGAGCGGACGGGGCTCCACAAAGCACAGGCCTGTGCAGGGGCCGTGGGGGCACCCAGGCGACACAGGCGGGCTCAGGGAAGGGAGCCCTTTCACTGGCCAAACGGGAACCCTCCCTCCAGGACAATGAACGCCCCACCATTGTTTCCCTTTCATCAGTTTTAAACACTTAACGTACGGACATCTGTTCCTCTGTGTTTCGTCTTTGTTCATCTGTCATCCTCAAAATGAAAGTCCAGAACCTTCCGCACTAATTTTAAAGTCCGGCTGAACATTTAGTAATGAGCAAAGCTGAAAACACAAGAGAAGAGGTGGTTTTTATGACCTTGTGTATTTTACTCACAGATGAGAGCACGACTACCTCTACTGCAGCTTTGTCTAAGTCACAGGCCCTCACGGAAGGCGCGGTGCCTCTCCCCACACCGACCACATCTGGCTCTCGCAGCCCCCAGGCCACCAGCCAAGTGAGCATCCCTCCTGCCTTGGATAATTGAGGCAGACAAACCTGTTTAAATTTCCCTCTGATTCTGTCTAAGTCTTCGTGAAGTTTGGCATAAGTAGGGTCGTCATAGGGGAACTTCTGGATCATGCCGATCAGGGCCTCTAGGACCTTCATCTTTTTGCTGTGAAGCACAGATAAAGACTTTCAGTCCCCTGCACACGACAGGATCGGGTTAGGTAACGACCACCACACCTACTTAAAGCAATGGGCATGCTAACGGGCCATGTTCAGGAGGCGGATGACTCACTTTCTCATTACACTAAATAATAAGTGTTTACCTAGCAACCTGCTCACCCACACCCACGCCTCCACATCAAGTGCGCTGGGAGGTCAGATACACCTCTGTCCCAGCCCTGGAGCCAGGTGACTGAGGCAACCCCAGCAAGCCCGCCAACCGCTGCTTCCCTAGGTCACACTAAGAAACAGACAAAACTAGACAGGACAGAGGCCGGGCATGATCAAGCCTGCTCTGGATCTGAGGAGTCCCCAGGACCTAGGCACTCTGCTCCCGGGGTTCAGCAGCGGGTGAACCAGCAAGCCCCCTCCCTGCAAGGGGCAGGAACGGGGTCTGCTGGGCGGCAAGGTGGTTCTGCATGGAGAGCAGCCCAGAGCGAGACTGATCCAAGGTGCTCAGTTAGTTAACCTCTGAGCCTCAGCGTCATCAGAAAAATGGGGAGTGAACAGTGACTTCACTGGCTTTCCAGATCACAGAATCGATGGAAAGCACAGAACCCAGCACAGAATAGGTGCTCAATAAATGTAGTCTTCTCGCTTCCACAGGACCCTGGAGGCCAGGGCTCTCACCTGGGGCGGTATGGGGGTAGATACAGTCACATCCGCGCACATCTGGGTAATGTGCCACGAGGGATCCCGACGGGCACCCTCCCCTGGACCACATTTGATCATCTGAATGTCAGAAGTATGCTAGGATTTGATTAATGGGAATTTCAAAGAACTTATCCTTAAGGTGAATCAACAGCAATTCCAAGCAGCCAAGACTTCCTGAGAGCCTGCTGCGTTTGCTGGCTTTAGATACGTGCATGAGTGAGTCTGCGGAGGCAAACCGCTGTCCCAGGACCACAGTGGCCACCTCTCTGAGAAAGTGCAGAGTGGTGAAATGTCCAAGTACATTAATTAAAGCAACAAAGCACTCAGTATCCAGGCAGATCTCGGCAGAGCCCACGCGTGGGAAACGGCTGCATTCCAACACAACGTGACCACCCCCACCCATTTCCACCTTTGCAAGTAGCGATTTAGTCTTCCCTGGTCAGGGAAGCTGCCCCGAGCACACCCAGAGAAGTCTGTGCATGTCAGGAGGGCGCAAACTGCTCACAGCGCTGCAGCAGCAGCGAGGCTGCCAGAACCCCAGCCCAGCCTGGCCAAGTGCTGGTCGGCACATGCTCCACCAGGCCGCTCACAGGGCAAGAAAAGCTCCGGCCACCGGGTAAAGCATCACCGCTCAGTCTGAGACAGTGCTGTCCACGGCTCCTCTGGTGTAAAACCAGATTTCACTGAGTGATAATGCGGGCGGCAGGTCTTTCTCTCCTAACATCCTCGCTTGGGACATAAAGCAGCAGAGACGCTCTATCAGCTGCCCACCACTTCCTCAGAAGTGTACTGACCTATGGGAGCCGAGAGCTGCAGGCCATGCTGCGGGCCGCATGCTAAGGCTTCTAGGTTGTGCTTCAGAGACCCTCAGGCCTGCCGATGGGGTGGGGCGGCAGTGAGGCGAGCGGGTGTCCCTCTGAGAGACAGAGTGGGCGCGGGGAACCCCTGCTCTGGAACAAAGGTTGGAGCCCTGGGTGTGGGACCCCAGGGCAACGTGCCTCCATGAGCCAGCAGACCTGGCAGGGGGAGGCTAGTGGAGAACACGAGTGTACCACCCCTTGTCATTCATGGACCCAAGTGGAGAGCCAAGCTCAGTTCTGACTGCCACCCAGGGGTGCCACAGGCTGCCAGCCACATTCCCACCAGGTCCCTGCCACCCTGCACTCCAACTGATTCCTCAAAGGAAAATCCCCCAGGGGCACCAGAACCCAGTCAGTTTCCACCTATCTATACAAATGGAGTGGCCCAGCGACCCACCAAGCCAGAGAGCAGGCCACCTCGGAACCACCACACTTAGCGGCAAGCACCCCTGTTCTTACGTCTGAATGGGGGGGCGGTCCAAGCTCCAGAAACTCAAAATATCTCAAATCAGACAAGTCATGTGATGAGAATGCCACCTCCCCTGTGCTGTCACCACTCTCCTCGCCCCTCCCAGGCTAGGCAAGGCTGCCAGGCATCAGGAGGACGTGGAGTGTCCTGAGTTGCACTCCCAGGAGCAGCAGGACAGCCAGACCACGGGGCCCTTTACTTAAGGGTTTGTGTCCAGCTTCAGAATGAAGACAGGTGTGATGGGGTTGTGGGGCTTCAGTGGGTACACATGTAAGTTTAAAAAGTCTACAACAGCCAACAGGTGCTTAGTGCCTCCAGTGCCAGGCACGTGTGAAACACATGAACGCGCCATCTCCTCAGTAGGTCTCATTGGCTGTGTTGAAAAGTTGGTGATGGTGAAGTCACCGTTTCCGAGCTGTACTCACACCGAGACTACTGTACTGTTTGTCACATGTTTAGGGTACAGAAGAAGGAAGATTATAACCAATTTCATTATTTTACTGGCAGGGTATCCAAAGGCCACCAACTGCTCTAATGACGCCAGGAAAAGCCAGGGGGACAGAACTCCTGAGAAGTAGGAACAACTGGTGTTTATCACACACGGAAAATGTGCCCAGGACTTTCTATTTACGGTAGTGCCCCCTTACCCACGGGGAGGGGCTACATTCAAAGACCCCCGTTGGATGCCTGAAACTGCAGATAGTACCAAACGCTATGTATACTGTTTTCTCCCACATATACACACAGGCTTTTCACTTAAAAAAGCACCATGGTCCACAGCATACCCAAACTGCCAGCATCACCACCATTACACTTTGGGGCCATTATGAAGTAAAATAAGGGTGACTTGAACACAAGCACTGTGACACCAGGACAGTCAATCTGATCACCAAGATGGCTACTAAGTGACTAACTGGCAGGGAGTATGCGCAGTGTGGACCCGCTGGACACAGGTGATCTGTGTCCCAGGTAGAACAGAGCAGGCCAGCACGAGACTTCACCACGCTGCTCACAATGGTGCACAACTGAAAACCTATGAATTGTTTATTTCTGGAATTCTCCAGTTGACAGAAACTGCAGACAAGTGAGAACCACTGTACTATTTCCTGTTAATCCCATGACAACATTCAAGTTTGGCCTCATCATTTTCTCCATTTCACTGAGGAGAGACTGAGACACTAACTGCCCACGGTCACCCTATGAAACCAGAACACTTGGTCCACACACTGAAAAAAAGAGAAGTCTGAACTGTACCTGTCTTTCTCAGTCGCACAACCGTGCAGGAGGCCTCTCCAAGCGAACGCAAAGCCTTGGTAGCACCCGATCTGCGAATTCACAAAACATTAAGAGTGAAATTACCAAGCAGTTGACTCGCTGTGCTTGAGTTCATTACCAAGCTCCCCAAAGAGAGGCGGGGAGGGTGCTTGTACTGCTGCTCTGGGGGTATGCGTCCAGCTCGGGCATCGGACGTTAGGAGGCCACGTCATCAGTGGGGCGGCCTCCAAGCTGGTCCCACAGACAATGTCACCTGTGCCGTAATGTCTTGGATCACTCACTCAAGTGTCAGGACACTGCGCAGGCAACAGCCGTGAGAGCCAACTTACCAGTGGCTCTTCCAGCCCCAGTGGAGCGCTGGCTGATCTGACACGACCATCAGGAGACCCCGAGCCGTGACCACCCAGCTCAGATGCTCCTGGACCCCTGACCCTCAGAACCTGGTGGGAATCAACGTTTGCTGACTTAAACCTCTACGTTTTGTGGTGATTTGTTCTGCAGCAACAGCTATCTAACAGTCAGGACTGCCACCTCGACTGTGCTTAGGGTGAGATGTCCATAAGCAAGGGCCAGTGTAGGACGGAGGGCGGAAGAGAAGGGAAGGGATGGGAGGTTCAACCCAAATGAAAAGGGAGCATTTTCCCACAACACCCGCTCTTTGAGTGAGGGTTCAGCTGGCTAAAGACACGAGGGGGAACCGTGACCCCCGTTGAAACGTGGGTGACTGAGGATGCTCTTCTCACTCCCTGGCCGCATGACACATCATCCCCAGGAGCAGCACATGCTGTGGCTTCTGTGCTGAGAGAATCCCTCTGTCAACATCCTGCCTCGTCTGTTGCCATTTTAAGAGGCCTGAGTGCTGGCTCGATCACACTGACCGTCAAAGCCCGTTATAAACTGTACGTGAGAAGGACTCACTTCTGCGTGGGGGGCCCCACTTACCTCGGACCCGATCTTCGCTCCATGTATTGTGCCGTGTTGTCTTCCTTCCATTATACCCAGACTACTGCCTTCTTCATAGCCTTCCTGGTACCCTTCCCCATGAAACCTGGGACAAAGGAGAAGCAACCTTGATCAGACAAGCAGAAGAGCATCCTTCCTGGAAAAACAGTTCACTCCACATTACCCAGACCCGGTAAGAAATGGCAAAAAAGGCACAGAACGTAAGTTAGAAAACGCAGTTTCCAATCCCAGCAGTACCCCTTCCTAAGTCTGTCTTCCTCTGCAATGAGGGGCATGGCTTCACTAGTGATTCCCAGGCCTGGTGGGGCGCCAGGGACACACGGGGAAATTTCAAAGATACGAATTCAAGAGTCTCACCCCAGTATTCAGTTCTGGGGTCCCACCTAGGAACCGACTTTTTGAAACCTCCTGGGTGACTCCGGCCTGCGAAGTCCTGAGAGTCTGTAAGATACACCACTCAGCCAATAGCTTCAAAAGCTCGGGGTTACATACGGGGCTCTCCATCACACCCGAGCAGACAGGCCCAGGAAAATGCCATTAGGCCGCCAGGAAACCTAGGTGACTTTGGGGCCTGGAGCATAATACTGGCTCCGACTTTGGGGAGGCTCAGCAGTAGAAATGGCACCATTTAACCTGCAGCCACTTATTGCTGGGGCCCCTAATAAGGCAGAGTGTCCCGCCTGGATCCGGCCTATTGTGTGGGTGCGGCCCTGGCCAGCGACCCTGCCTCATCTGTAAGGTCGGGGGAGTAGCAGAAGCTACTAGAATAGATAATGGGGGGGAGGGAATCCGTCAGTGTTGGATTCACAATGGGCTCCAAATAAATGTCGGTGGCGCCTGACGGACATCTATTGCTGTCTCGGGCACAAAGCAAACTCACAGCTCCCCCCGGCCACCCCCGGGGGCTCCGGAGGGAAAAGGGACGACGTCTGACATTTATCAGCCCGCCCATGAATGCTGCCGTATGTCCCACCACGAAGGAACAAGGAAAGGGGGCAGTGCCCAGATGGCAGGGGCCTGTCCCCGCCGGGGATGGGCGTGCCCGCAGGGCCGAGCAGATG